TGTTTGGTATCTTCGCCCAACTCCATTTTAATTTAATTTAAAATTTTAAATTCTACTCATACCAAATTAAAAATATATTATTCAAATCATAAAAAGTTTTTTACTTAGATTCGAATGGTTCAAGTTGAGCCTACCCAAATTACTAATTGCACCTACGGCTGTGCAACTGTGATTGGTAGAGACAATTTTTATTTTTTTATTTTTAGGGAAATGATTGGTAGTGACATCACGGGCCGGTTTTGTAACCGAAGAACTAGTAACATTTGGGCTAATTAGAAGCTCAATTTTTTTCTTCCTCTGGTCAACAATAAGAAGATATATAGTAATAATAATTTGTTCAACTAATATTAAGTATAAAAATTTAGAGTCAAGATTCTCGTTGAGGTCTTAACATGACACAATTTGAGGGATTTATAGGTGAGAGGGTCATTTGTGTACAAATTAGGCTAAGTTAGGCATTAGTTTCAATAATTTGAACTGTTTATTTTGTAGAACCCGCAATGTATAGTATTCATAAAAAAATTAATTTGATTCAATAATCATAAATTTTTTATTTTATTGTATTTATGTCCGAAAATGGGATGACAAATATACTTTTGAAATAGACCATTTATTTTTTTATAGACAAATGTGATAAAATAAAAATATTATGATTATCGGATTGCCCCAAAACTTTTCATGGATATTACACATTATGGGCCCTACAAAATAACTGAGACCTATGTTGGGGCCTACGAGCCCCTCAAGTTCTATCATGTTGGGATCCTTACATGAGATAAATCCAATCCAAAAATTTATAAATATTCATTTCATTTGTAAACTTTTGTAATTGACCCAATGAGTTTTAATTTATTTTTTTGTGTAAATTATACTTTAACCCCTGTGGTTTGTCTAAAAAACACAAATTCCCTCTATACTTCATACCAAACTATAATTTCAAACGGATGTAACAGAAGTAAAACAAAATCATAAATGTCCCTAAATATTTTACACTCAACAATTTCATTTGATTAATATAGTCTTTGTATCTCTCTCTACCTTCTGTCTCACCGTGGACACCATATCACCACCCACCACATTTCAATACCAAACCCACCTCCTTCACCCATTTTCACAATCAAGTTCCATCACCACTACCTTAAGCTCCACGACTACCATCACTGCAAGCTCCGTCGTCACCACTAGACCATCACGACCACTGCTGCGACTTTTATATTGCAATCCCAAGTGTAGGATGTCGCGAAGTAATATAACTTGGTGGGGTCGAGGTTGAATCCACAAGGACCAATTTGTTCAAAATAATTACCAAACACTCAAATAAAGTAAAGAAAAATATGATTTTGAATTTTTGAAATGGTTGAATAATTTGAGAAAAATAATTAATTAAAAGATAAAACAAGGTGATTATAAAAAGGGTGCTAAAGCATCAAGGATCCTCCACCGATGCTTTCTTTAAAATATTTTAGATTCAATTTATATAACTCAATTGAAACATACACAAAAAGTATTTTCAATTGGAAGATAAAACGATTATTCCATATAAAAATTAATAAAAAAAAATCAATTACTTTCACTAATTGATTACACCATAAAAATCTAATTATTTGATGCGCGGGGAATATCAAGCTTTTATCGTGCCCGGAGTCTATAATAGAACAAGATATTATGCAAAATAAAAAACTCTTCCCAAATGAATAAATCAATCAATTAGAAAAATCTGATATTGAAAACCATGATTGAATCATAAAATGTTTACAAAGAAAACATTGGGGTTTCACTCCTAACCTTAATGAAGAAGATTTAGAATATCATAAAAAAAAAGGGGGAAATAATATGTATTAAAAGGTGCTTTTTTTCCCCGAAATTCCTTCAATCTCCTCAACAAATTAACATGTATTTATAGTGATTGCTGAGAATTGAGTTTGACTTCAATTTGCCCTGTTCTTTTCCTTATCTTGCCCAATCCTTATCCTTATTGTGAATTATCCAACAAAGAGTAAAATTATATCATTAACTTCATAATTAAAAATAAAGTGAGGGAATTAATTTAATGAAGGTATCTTAATGATTAAAAATAATAAAATAATTATACATTTTTAACCATTCATCAACCACCATCGCCTGGCTCCATCGAAACCAAGAACCACCCTTCACAAAGTGCTATAGATGAAGCAACATAAGAGGGAGGATGATGAAAAAGAAAGAAATAGATTTGGAGATGTTTATTTGGAATATGTGAAGTTGGCTTCGGACAACTTTCGGCATATCAAAACCACTCATTTCAGGAAGAAGTGAGAAAATGAGGTGGCGTAGGATGAAGTACAAAGTAAGGTGAAGAGATTGGTGAAAGAACATGGTAAAACTGTCGAGAATCGAGAAAGTTATGGAGTCCTAAAAATGGGCCTGAAAAATGAAAAGAAAAATATTGTTTTTGATCAATTTTCAAAGCTTTGACAGTACGCGAAAATAGCGGAACGAGGCTTGTGAGGAGTAATACGAAAATTAGGTAGTGAGGTGAGTCCAACAACGCAAAAATGAGGCAAAACGGAGTTATGACAAAGGAGATATAAGGGTTTGAATTTGAAAATCTGATATTTTCGGGTCTGTTCGTGCATGCGGTTTGAAGAAGATAAAGTGGTTTTGTTGGTATGAATCCCATCAATGCTATTTTAAAAATCTAAACGCTTACACTTGTTAATTGTTTGACTCCATGGGTTTGGTTTGTTATTAATTTGAATCACAAAAAAAATGCAAATAGTGATGGTGTTTGTTGGTAAGAGCATCCACAGTGGAACTGTTAACCTCTACTAATGTCAGATGTTAAACTTTTGACCAGCCAAACTTCATTTTGTTCCCACAATGGAGCTATTAAGGGTAATGTTAGTGGTGATAGTTAGTGTCAGATGTTAAATAGTGTGTTAATTGCAACCAGCGTTTTAGTTAGTATGGGAGAGAGAGGGAAGTGTTGTAGGGAAGTCCGGCCAGTCATCCCCCCAGACATCCAGACCCTTTAAGAGAAAAAAAAAAAATTGCAAAGTTGTTTTTGGTCGACCGAATGATTTTATGGTCGGCCGGCTTATTTACCAAGCAAAGATGCACTATAGAAAGAGAGAGGAAGGCACTGACAGTGTAGTGAGGTGGAGGCCCACTACACTTTTCTATTATTTTATAGTTTATTATATATATATATATATTCTTAACACATATCTTAACACACCTATTGTATCACCATTCACTCACTATCACTTACTAAATTAACAAAGGGTAAATTACACTTTGCACCCCTGCACTTAACATAAAATCTCACTTTAGTCTCTACACATCAAATTGTGACACTTAACCCCCTGCACTTTTGGTCAAGTGTCACATTGGCCCTTCTGTTAATAGTGAGGCTAATAGAAGTTATTCTTTAGGGAGCTAAGTGTCACAATTTTGATGTGTAGGAACTAAAGTGAGATTTTGTGTAAAGTGCAGGGGTACAAAGTATAATTTATCCTCAAAACAAAACAAAAAAAAAAAAAAAAAAAAAAAAAAAAAACAAGAAAGTATTAACAGAAGGGCCAAAGTGACACTTGACCAAAAGTGCAAGGGGTTAAGTGTCACAATTTGATGTGTAGGGGCCAAAGTGGGATTTGATGTAAAGTGCAAGGGTGCAAAGTGTAATTTACCCATTAACAAACTCTTAACACACATTTTTGGGTCCCACTTTTATCACTTTTTGTCATATAACACACTTTAACACACAGTTTTAACACATCCATTGTGGATGCTCTAGTGGGTGGTGATGGTGTGATGAGAGAGAAATAAAAATAAAGAAAATAGAGAAAGTGGGTTTGGATAATTTTTAGAGAGAGAATTGGCGGTGATACATCACTACAACAAATTTGGGATTTAAAGACGAAACTAATTTGTCCCAAAATATATATATTTCGTCACCCAAAGTAATTACGACGAACATTTTTCGTCACCCGTTTTGTCGCCAAAGGGTCGTCGCTAAAGGGTTTTAGAGACGAAAAAAAAAATTCGTCATTGAAAATGATAAATTTATGACGAATTTTTTTGTCTCCAATACACTTTGTTGGGAACATACTTGTAAGTAATTAGCGACAAAATATTTTGTCATTAAAGGAAGAAATTAGAGACAAAAATATTTTGTCATAAATATAAGAAATAGAGATGAAATAATTTTTTCGCGTTTAATAAAACGAAGACAAAAAAAAATTTGTCAAAAAAGCTACCAATAGAGACAAACAAATTCATCATTAAAAATGATAAATTTGTGACGAATTTTTTTGTCTCCAATACATTCTGTTGAGAACATACTTGGAAGTAATTAGCGACAAAATATTTTGTCATTTAAAGAGAAATTAGAGACAAAAGTATTTTGTCATAAAAATAAAAAATGGAGACAAAATAATTGTCACGTTTAATATAAACGAAGACTGAAAATTTTTTGTCAAAGAAGCTACCAATAGAGACAAATAAATTCATCATTAAAAATAATGAAATAATGTCAAAAAAAAAATTCGTCACACATTGAGGGTGATAGTGACAAAATGTGACAATATTTTTTGTCATAACAAATTCATTTAGCGACGAAATAAAAAATTCATGACAAAATTAATCATCCACCTAAGCTAAATAAGAGACAAAAAAAAACCTTCTTTAGGGATGAATTTAGCGATGAAATAAAAAATTTATGACAAAATTAATCATCTACCTAAGCCAAATAAGAGACAAAAAAACCTTCTTTAGGGATGGAAAATTTTGTCAATAATTTCATAATATTTTTTTCCACATTATATACTTATTTTATCAAAATCTAAATTTTAGTTCAACAAATATGACCCTGTTCATGTTGAAACCTGTTGAGTACAACAATTTCATCACAACTTAACCTAACCTGTTATCAACACATTTACGAATTAACAAAATGAAGATATCCATTCATTATTACAAATAATTTCATCCTAATACAATAAAATAGTGAAATATTCACAAAATATCCAAAAGTTATAACTTGTTCAATTCCACCAAAAATCCAACAATAACTAGTGCAACTCCAAAAAATGTGTATCCTTATCAAACAAAAATAAACATTCAAGCAAATTACATCATTGTTGCACGTCAAAAATGCCACTTTAATCCAATCTGCAAAAAAATAAATTAAAAGTTTTAGTAATTAATCAATTATACAAAAGATTAAAAACATTAGTAACTCATCAATTTACAATTAGATCAATTATACAATTTATCCCTGTAACAGACTTTTTTTGAGATTATGAGAACAAAAAATTAATTTTAAGGCTAATTCACAAATGGTGCATCCCATTAATGTGTCGTAAGTTCATACAACTTATATTGGTCCCTCCCGAGGTGCATCCCATTAATGTGTAATAGCTTACCGCTCAGGTGCTAAAGCTGAGTTATCATCACCACTGGAGAAAGGAAGAAGATCAATGAGTGTGGATGGGGGTTCCGTAGTCAGAATTATAAGCTACATCTTCACGCAATTTGCAAGGGGCAAAAAAGAAAAAAGAGAAAAGAGAAGCACCAGGTTAATATTGCAGGAAGATAAACTATTACAAATGATCCTCGGAGTTTTTCTCCTTCTTCCTTAATATAATCCATGTTTATTATGGGGGAATTTTGGCACTATTGCACTATGTTGTTTCTCAAGACCCCTATAGGTGAACACTAAAAAGTAAAATTTATTTTTGACATCAACTTGTGTCATCTAAATAGATCTAATATGTGTCATTGATGAATGGAAGACTAACGATTATATTGAAGAAACATGAAATGTGTTATACCACAAAATCACCAAAAAATTGCATCAACTAGAACTAATCTAACATTAGACCATCCAAATTATTGACCATAGTACTGCCAGGAGTCACAAATCAAAGCCTAAGAAAAAATATGGTTACGGGACACGGACACGACACAGACAAGCAGATATGGCATTTTTCCAGAAGTAGGACTAGAACATGTAGAGCACTTTTCCAAAAGGACATATACACGTCAAATAATATATTAAAATTTTATTTTATATATGCATATATAATTTTATATAAATTAAATAAAATCACTTTTTTCAATAAATAATTCTGTCTAAAATAATCATTATACAATTGAATTTTTATTCTCTAACATGTGGCCAAAAATTGGCCAGGTCGAGGATCTACTACATTAACAAAGCCAACAAAGCACATGAGTCTACAACATAAAAAAAAAATTCAAAACGATCGCTTTGACTACTTCCTTTCACAACTCATCTACTACGATTTGTACATTTTGTCTCTAGATGTGTCTCTGCAAGCTCAACTCGAGCAACTATAGCCTCCCCTCCACTGAGGGCTTGGGTCTTGATGAGGTGTCATCAATCTAGGAAATCAATTATGATGGGGGCTTTTGCAAGGGCTTCAATCACAATCAGGTGTGGTCATTCTAGGGCAACGATCGCAATGGGGGCTTCGGCGAGGGCTTCAATCATGATGGGTGCATCTATCTAGGGCTTCAACAAGGGTTTTAATTGTGGTTGTTAAAGCCTTCGATCTAGGGTTCCAATAACACTGGCATCAATTGCAACGAGAGTTTGTTTTATCCATGGTCAGTTTCTTTCAATAAATTTCTTTCTTTTAGAGGGAAAAAATAAATAAATAAAAGCAAGTGTCCAGCAATGTGTCTGGTCTTGTCCATCACATGTCCATAATTTAAAAAATTAAAAAAGAAAAATTAGATACTATTTTTCGCTTCTCAAACACAAGTCGGTGACATGTTCGGAAGTATGTGTCTCAGACATCTGGGACAATAATACATGAGATGATAGTGTGTCGGTGCTTCATAGACCAAAGCTAATAATAAAATTGTCAGGGGATAGCAAAAGTTCTGCAGGTAACTATGGAATGCAGTTTAGCATGTGACTAATTCAACCCTATTTTTGGCACCAGCAATGGTCTCAAAAACTACCTTTGTTCCTAAATCTGTCAATGCAATTGCCATGTTGTTCTTTGCAATCTCGAAGTTTGGACACACAGCAAGACACCTGAGAAAGCACAAGCAAGAAGCATACATGGCACTTATCAAAAATAAAAAATAAAGCGTACATCGCATCAGCAAATACCAAATATTTTTAAGCACCAACACAAAACAAACATGATTCTTAAAAGGTAGATAACCTCTCATAACAGGCAAGAGCTGATTCCAAGTCTCCACGATTCTTATAGATGACACCCATGTTGCAGTAGGCTTCAGCATACATGGGCCTCTCTAATGCAGCTTCTCATAGCAACCAAGGGCCATATCATATTGCATCATTTCAGAATAAACAACACCAAGGTTATAATATGCAGGCTGCACAAGCAAGGTCAGTGCATTACTGTGGGTACATGTATATTTATGAAGCAAGGAAAACGCTGCGTCCATGAAAAATGAGACTAAAAGTTGGAGGACTATAAATGTACAGCATAATGCGGATCTATTTTAATAGCTTCGTAATATTTCTGTATTCCCTCCTGAGCGTTGGCAACAAGCTTTAAGCTAGTTCCGAGATCTGTAAAAACAATTGCCTGGTATTCTGCTGCAGGTTTGTATGAAGGGTCCGCTCTCAGAGCCTTCTGATATGACTGCATCAAGTGAAATTGATTGAATGTGAGAAGTAAACACGCAAAACTTTTGCAAGAACTAATTATTCTGTAGATCAAATGTCAAAATCCAACATACCATGTGTAACTGCATACATAGCATAATAAAAATGCACTTAAAACAGAAAAGAAAATTGTGAATGTTGCATGCATATGAAGCCTAGCCCAAACAAAACATTGCTCAGTCTGGACAGGGCTCAAGAAAAATGATCAGAGTTTATGTCAATCTAGATCAACTAAATCTCCTCATTACAGCAAAACTCTCATTGCTACTAACATGTTATGCAAAATTATAAATCTATTTCTGTACAGGTTGGGGCAAAGGAAAATTAATGGAGACAAGCAAGAGGCACAATAATCTTCTGCATGCTTTACAAGAATCAAAGCATGGATCAAACTTCTGCCCATCACATAACTGATATCTATCAGCACCATAAAACTAAGCAAATGAAACAATAGTTGATGACTTTTAAGTGCATCATATGAGAAATAACGTATAAAGCTATAACCGAATTGGGTTATGCAAGTAAATGTAGCACAAAAGGTGATCCTTCAATCAAGTAGCTGATTACTTCATGTTTCAAGTAAAATGTTAACAGTGTCGTGAATTCTCAAGCAGAATAGAAAGTAGCACAATTAAGGAAAAAAAAGGATGGCTTGTCAATGACTAAGTAAACTGGTTTATATATAATGCAACTAACAAAAAGGCAGCAATGACAACAATGGGATACTGAGTAAATTCACTTGCAATTTTGAAATAACAATGGTAGGATTTTGATGAAATGTAATACGAGGCCAATTCACTTGCAAATTTGGTTCTCAATGGTAAATAACTGACACGGTGGAGCAAAAACCTAGTTCTAACCAGCCTTTTCTTCAACGATGGAAGAGAGTGTGTGATGATGTGAGAGGAGGGAGGAAAGAGAGAAGGAAATAGGGAGAGAAGAGAGGGAGTGTGCATGATGTGAGAAAAGAAAGAGAGGGAAGAGAGAGTGTGTGATATGTGAGAGGATAAAAAAGGAGGGGGAAGAAAGTGGGAGATAGATTCTCTACTGATAGGTATTTTTTTTTTCCCCTAGTCACCACGGTTCTATAATTTTCCCTTGCTCCTATTCATTTTTAGTAAAGTGTACCTTGTACAAGTTATGTTCATATTACTACTACAAGGTATACAGGTGGAGGGAAAGTCTTTAAAAAATAATAATAAATAATAATTACCAAAAAAGAAAAAGAAAAAAAGTAAATCTAAAATAATCTACAAATGATTGTAACTAATAGACCATTCAAGAACTAATAAAGAGCACCTGTGCTTTTTGAGATGGTGTAACATGGCAACATATAGTTGTCCTTGACAAAATTGATAGTTCAGTGAACGGTTTCCTGTAATGCTTAAGTGCAATTTCAAAAGCCCAGCCATCAATGACAAAAGCCACATCCTATTCCAAAATAATAGCAGTGATTTAAAAATAAAAATAATAATAAAAAGGCTTGGAACTAACTAAACCAATAACTAATTCACGTCAACCACTTTCCTTGAGACAAATACACAAAATAAAAACTGCAATTCAATTACTTACAAATTACTATACCTGGAAATATTGCAACCACAATAATCATTAAGGTATATTTGTTTTCTCACATGGCTTCACTTTTATGCTTGGATGCAACCACCCTATGTACAAGGACCAAAAACATCCACCTTACAAGTTACATTATGTCATCATTTTGAACTATAATGCTGTTTTTTCTCAAGAATTTATGGCAGACTAATGTAAGAGCAATTATTGCATACAAGGATGACAGTAGCTTTTTTATTTTATTTCTTTCTTCTCTTTTTCTTTCTATGTTCTTTGTTGATTCAAGTGCAGCTTTAATATGTCAGGTTTTGATTCTTTTTGTGGTTGTCAATCAATCTTAGGATATGGAAACAATTAGCAATAGGCTTCAAAAACTTCAGGCAATGTTTGGTTCCAAGCCCATTGTTATTTATCACAACATTATGTAGTTAAAGTTATCCAAATTATAGTTCATTATTCAACACTTTCAAAAATATCTCTCTCACTTATGATATAGCGATACAGGACAATCTATATAAGTCAATATCACCGTGGAACCATAGCAATATGTATTGCAGTAGACTTGAACCGGAAACATTGATATTCTTTTCAACTTTATGTCATGGAACATGGTTAAGGATGATTTTCCTGGATTGATAAGCCAATCCAAAAGAAATCAGAATATTGCACACATTTCTCTCTTATTCTGAATTTTATGGACCAGAAACTGGACATCAACTGCATTTTGCTAAAACTTATCTCTTTTTTGCTTTACTTCATACTATATTCCAACACCATATAAACCTTTCTAACTGAATAGTCATATCTAATCTGTTCTAATTCAAGATTTCTAATAAATATACCCTGAAATTATACAATCCCTGTCCTGCACAAGCACATTCATGATCTTCGGTTGCAAAGCAACACATCTCAGAAAGTTATTCATAAATCAACAGCAGACATTACGATTTAGTATAAATGGTTACAATTATTGCTTTTCAGACATCCATGACTAGTATCCACTTAATCAAGGTATAGGAAACCCAATGTTTAATTTCCCACGTGATCTAATCATATGCTTATTTTACTCTAAAATCCCACAGATGTTCCTATACAAGATGAGATCATATTGTGTTGTGTCCATAACATGATTAGGATCCACTTACACAAGGTATATGAAATCTATTGAATTCCCAATTGTATCTAATCATATTCTTATGTCATTCAAAATCTCAGAAATTGTCCTATACAACATGAGATCGTATGAAATATCGCAATCATCAAATGTTGATCCTCCACCGTAAGAGACTACAACCCCAAATGTTTACATAGTGCTTTACATGAATGAGAGAGAGAGAGTAGAGGGGGAATCCGAACATACCTGATATTTTTTACAGATCGAAGAGAAGAACCAGTCTCGCCGCCCAACTGTTGAGCCGTCGAACCAGTCACGAATTGTCAAGCGTTGCTGCTGACGAACCGGCCTCACCGAACCGTCGATCGCTGCCGCCGTCGATCGCTCCCCTTCGAAATCTGGCGCCGCTTAACCACTCTCCCCTTCGAACCTTCGAACCTTCTCACTCTCTTCTAGGTTGTCTAATTTACAGCTTTCTAAAACCCAATTACAAGCCACAGTTTACTATATTTTGATACCAAAAACAACATAATACATTTTTTATCATTGGCGCTTTTCTTTTTTTCTATTTATTTTTTTTAATATCATTCCCCACATAAATTGTGCATTGTGGAAATTAAAAGAGGAAATTTTGAGAGTGACGAGGGGTTTACCTCCTAGAAAAAAAGAAGAAATTTTGATTGGTAACTTTCCACTGCCTCAATTTTTAGAGGCAAATCACCGAAAAAATAAAAATAAAATAATTTTTAATTCTTTAAAAAAAATTAAAACTAATTTGAGAATTAGAAAAATCAGAAATATATTTTTAAATTATTTATGACCTCTTAAAAGATAAAATTAGACAAAAATAATAAGTATTTTTTTATTTTTTCACCAAATTTTTTTAAAGTTTTTCAGGAAAAAAAAATCTGAAACAAGTTTCTAAAAATAAAACCAAATATATTGAAATTGATAATCTAATATTCTTTGGAAAAGTTTAGATTATCTCAAATTAGCCATCTCAACTTAAGAGTATGTTTGGACTTGATGGGTTCATTTTGTGATCTAATTCGATGATCACTTTAATTTTACAATTCAATAACTAGAATATTTAAAATTCTTTGAAAAGTTATAATAAAAACACAAATCACTAAATCATTTGATTTCACTAGCAAAGTTTTTACCGACGAATAGTGTTATCGTCGCTAAATGTTCAACTCTTTGCCCATGCCAATTAGTCGTCGCCAAAAGTAAGCACACTAATAGCGACGCTTATTGTGTTGCTAAAAAATAAGCCTCGTAGCTCAAATTTATGAAATTTTGGCGCTAACCAATATTTTTGGCGCCTAGTCAATGTTATGCTTTTTTAGCAACGATACTAAATTGCGTTGGTAAAGGTCTACTTTTCCCAACGAAATTGATCACTGTGTCGCCAAAAATATACTCTTGGCTACGACAAATTGACGTTATCGCCAAAAGTAGTCACCAAAAGTGAAATTTCTTGTAGTGAAAAATGGAAGTTGAATAAAAATAAAAATGGAAACTGCACAAAATTAAACATGGAAGTTCATTCAAGAAACCACTATACCATAACGATCTATTTGGAAATTGAATAAAAAAAAAGAAATTAAATAGAAAAGGAAACTGAATAAAAATGGAAGTGGAATAAAAATAAAAATGAAAGTTGCATAAAATTAAAAATGGAAGTTCATTCAAGAAACCACTACACCTTAACGATCTATTTGCAATTAAATAAAAAAGAAAATTCAATAGAAAAAGAAATGGAAAAAAAAATGGAAGTGGAAAAAAAATAAAAATGGAAGTTGCATAAAATTAAAAATGGAGGTTCATTCAAGAAACCACTATACATTAACGATCTATTTGGAAATTAAATAAAAAAGGAAATTGAATAGAAAAGGAAATTGAATAAAAATGCGTTTTTGCATGGAAGGTGATGGTGGTGCATATTTATATAATGAGGGAGAGAGAAAGGGTGTTCTGGTTCAAGAGTGTAATGTTTTTGACGGGAGAAAGTGTTGCCTAGTATTGCACTACACTTTTATGCTCGTGAAACTCACGTTCTGTTAAATATTTCAATTTGGTATTAAGTTTAAAAATTTTAAGTGTTATAAATGAAACTACAGAGGGTTTCGTGTTTTTTCGGTAAACCACATGAAGTTAAATGTAATTTACCCTATTTTTTTTTAAGAAGAGATAATTTTAACTTTGTTTTTCTTTTTGAAGTATTTCTCTAAGATTGCTTAAAAAAATATGAAAATCCATAATCAAAATTATAATTTTATCTCAAATTATCACAAATCAAAATTCCTAATTATAGCACATCAAAATTATCAATTTTAGCACAAATCACCACAATTCACAACTTAGACAGATTATTATATATAAAATACAATAGATTCTTAGTTCAATAATCTGAAAGTGTCACAAAATAATTCTTTTAGTGACATTTTTTAATCGTTTAACGTTTTTAACAAATGTCATTGATACACATGCCATGGTAATACTAGTGACACTTTAGTGACATTTTTAAGTGCTACTACAACATCAATGTTAAAGATTTTTACTGACTATTGGGTCAAGTTTGTAAATTACAAAATCTTATCAATTTGATTTCTAGTGCAACACATGGACCTCACGGTATATAAATTCAATATCAACCCTACAATTCTCATTCAGAATACGTTCGAGATTTGTAAGGTGGGGTTCATGACATTTTCCCCCAAGTTGTGCCTTGAATTTAATTTTAAAATTTATTGCTCTTTTATAATTTGAGAACTTCACTTATGAATCTAGTATTTTTTTTTTATAATTATTGAATTCACTTATCTCCTTTTCTTTTTCTTTTTTTTTATTATATATATTTAATTTGAGGACTTTGCTATTAATTTTGATTTGTGCCTTTAATCTAATTTTGTTGCTTTCATTTTTTATTCATATATAATTTTGTCATGCCTTTGTTTTGTTTGGATCATATATTCTCTTCAATTGTTCATAAATTTCTGTGGGTGCTCTTTGGATTACGGATTGAATTTCTATTGAATTTTAGATAATCTCTGTGAGTTGAATTTTACAATCAAGGTTCCTAATAAGTATATTGAAGAAAAAGAAGTAAAAACTTTAAAAATTAACTTAATTTCAAACGGGAGCTCTGAATAAATTTTTTAGTAGCAAAAATAAACAGAGAGTTCAAGTTCAGTCGATAATGAAAAACATATTAATGAAAAACGGTGGTGTTACATGCACCAATTAATGTACACACTAGTGCACCAATTAGTGTTATGCCATTATTACTAACCATACCTATTATACAAATTGTAAATATCCAAAACTTCTAAAATTATGTCACATTATTTGTTAGTATACTAATTAGTACATATAACATTATTCTAATCAAAATGAAGAACTTAATCAATGCTTAAAGGGTCCTATTTTGAATGTTTGTTTTGGGTCTGAAAAACACAAGGCGAACCATGACTTCTCTGAGACTATATCCTTATCCTGGGAGTTAAGTGACTTTTATTTTATTTTATTTTTTAAAAATAGAAATGGAGGAATTATTAAAAAGAGAATTGGAAATGAATAAGAGCCTCTTCTTACCATGCCCTATCTCTACATTGATTTGTGACTCTGCACAAAAGTCCAGCAAATATTCCAGTTAGAATTGGAACCATATGTATTTTTCAAAACATAAAAACAGAAAACTAAAACAAAAAACGAAAGCAGACAGCTACTCTATAAGGTAAACTACTAATAGGTCTTAATAATTGGACTTAATTCCCATCAAGTCCTATTAAAAATAAGTCTTGATAAAATTGTCGTTAAAAATAATTTTTTTGTGACAATTTGTTATATATGTCGCTAAAAATTAACAATTAGTGACTTTTTGTCATGATTTTTATAAATTATCGCTAAAACTTATAATTAGTAACATTTTTTTTATAACAAATTTTTCCTATAGGACCTATTAGATAATAAGTCCACTTATT